TATTATCATGTTAAATTTTATTTAAATATTTTAAATAATTAAAAAAGTAGATCAGAGACATATTTATAGTAATTATGTAGACAAATTTGTCTGCAAATCTCTACCAATTAAGAGATAGCATTTAATTTAAAAATTAAACTCTTGTATTGTCTAAAAATATATAAAATACTTATTTTAATGCAGCAATAATTTTGCAACTATAAAAAGCAAAACTAATATCTAATCTTAGCTATATTTGATATTCACTTATTAAGAAGTGCAAATTAGATATACTGTATATAGTACATACTTACCTGTAATACTGCATTTTGAGAAATGCGTAGATTAAGTTCTAAACCAAACAGATGTAAAGATGTATCGCTTTTATCTGACTTTTTTATCAATCTTAGTTTTTTTAAATTTATTTTCATTAGTATCAGGAATATGCCGATTATTAGGAGGATGGCCATGCTTATGCTTAACCTCAATCATTTTAATTTCCTTATAGTTTGTAATATTGTCAACATTGGTCATTTCAAAAGTACTTTGCTGTAAATTATTTGAGTTATCTTGAAGTTTTGGTATCTTTCCATTTTCTAAAATTTGTTTTGAAACATTTTGCATAAGATTTGATAAATCATTATAGTGACATTGTAGTAGCTCTTAAAAAATTTGCATAGCAAGCTGGGAAACCGAATCTTGAATATGATCAATTTTTGAAGTATGTAATGCATACCAACATTTATGAACCTCACTTTGTAGCACACAAGTACACAGATACAAAAGATATACTATAATTATATGCTGGCATGAAGTTTTTGGTATGCCATGGATATAAATATGTGCAAATACTTGGTGTTTCAATTTGCACTGCATATGTTTTTATTATCTAATCGTCAATTTGCACTACATCATATATACCATCATCACATTTAAGAACTCCATATTTTCCTGATTTTACAAAATCTCTTTGTTGCTTTATATATGTTTCATAAGCAAATCGTGAACATACTGAATATAGCTTTTCTAAGCCTATATCTTTATTATCTTGTATATGCCAATTTTGATATAAAAACATTTCATATACAAATTTTTGAGTGTGCTCTTGATGTTGTTGCCAAACTATTGCAAGCAACCTATTAATAATAAGAAAATAAATATATATTAGATTAATTAGCTAATTACTATATTATAGTTATAAAATTATGCACAAAGGTATATTTTCAAATTTTGGCCTAATTTTGGCTGAGATTCAAAATAATACCTCTGCATATTATTTAACTCTAATAACTGACTAACAATTTTTTATTTATATCTATCAATCAGAACAACACGTTTTTCAATACTTTTTAATTTGTTATGTAAACTTTCAACATGCTGGCTTGACTTAATATTAAGATTTATGTTTTTTTTGTATATAGTGCAAGCCAACTTTCTTTATATAGCATCCATGTATTATACATATATTTTTTTGCACTTGGAAATTTTATCCACAATTCAGTGATTTCTTGTTCTACTTGATCTTCTAGAAAATTATCATATACAAGCATTTGAATAGCTTGAATAAATTCGTCAATATTAATTCCCTTAAGCTTATTTCTAATATTTTTAAAAAAGTGCTATATACATAGTTGATGCTTTGTATTGGGAAAAATATTGGATATTGCAGCCATAAGGGCCAACTCTCGATCAGTAATAATAGTTTCTACATGTGAATTACCTGTTAAAATAGTTAGCACTTTGTATAACTCATATAATACCTAACTATAAAATTTCTTTGTTTTGGAATAAACAAGCATGAAAGCCAAAGAATATGTTGATCCAAATCAATCAGTACTACAAATTATGATTAATGGCATTGAAAATCTATTAAGTAATATAAATAAAATATTTATATAAAGTTAAAATAAAAATGCTACATAGAAATCATATATTAAAAAAATTAAATAAACAAATAAGCAAATAAATAAATAAATAAAACCTATTAGTTTTATATGTTGTATCAATGATTAATATATTTTTTGCTTCTGCAAACTCAGCAACTGCACTTCAATATGCCTAGAAGATTTCTTATATAAATGCTCCATCTTGATTACATTCATCATTATATGCTGATTTGGTTGCAACACTTGCTATAATATTTTTATCATCATCAGAAAATTTTTTATATAGATACATATCGATGCAAAAAATCGATATATATCGATAAGAAAAAAACAGCATATATCGATAATTTAGAATATATAACGATATATAACCAAAAATCGATATATACCGGTAATAGGTATATATTGATAAAAATCTAATCATCGATATATATCGATTTTATTTATATTAATAGTAATCGTGTAATAGATATATATCGATAGTTGCATTATTTAATTATATCAATATTTAGCAATATTTGTTAAATATCGATATATATCAAATATTTTACTTTTGTTATAAATCGATTCATATCAGATTT